GGGCAGGGGCAGGGCTTGGGGGGGCAGGGGCAGGGCTTGGGGGGGCAGCGATTGACTTGGGGTGATGGATGCAGGGGGTGGGGGGTCCCTGCAGCTCTCCTGGCTCCTCTCCTGACTGCGCTCTAGGCCTGAAACCTTGAGGAGGCCTGGGCCATGAGGCTCCTGGCTGCCATTGGTGGAGAGCACATTGATGCCAAAATCTGGAACTGTAAAACAGAAAGGAAAACAGTGTAAAACAAACTGCTTCTCCAACAACAATTATTGGTTTCCATGCAGGTGATCCATTTAAACAAAAATGTTAAAAACAGAAAAATAGCAGAATCACATGAATATTCACTGACGTGGATGAATGGCACTAATGTGCAATTTTAATGGATCGTGGCTTTGAGAGACATACATATATCAAGCACAGATGCTTGGCTGTTTAAGTGGGTGTATGCATAATGACCTCCTTTCCCCAGGTAAATGAACACTGAACATCTCCAGCTCTAACTAAATGTATACATGTCGTGTGTATGTGTGGGCTACAGGCCTTTTGTACACTCTAGTCTCTAACTGCCATCTCCTCTGCCACACTGAGTGCGTATGCTCAGAGCTCACAGAGAGACCCATAAAGTGACACGCACATGTTTTCCCACTCTTCCTTCTCATGCTGGAACGCCCTGCTTGGGTTTGCAGCTGTGCCAGCACAAGCACCAATTCCTGAGCCCATTCACGCAGCCTTAAACACCATCCCTGGAGACACTCTACACAGCTGAAATGTGTTTTTCTTCTCCAGGCTAAATTAGTTTGTATCGAACACAAAAAAACTTCACATCTTTTCAAGGTAATCTTTTTTTGCCTGGATGACAGAACTTCCACTTGCAGGACAAATTAATGAATTCTGGTCAGTTTTTTTAATGAGGCAAAATTTTTGCATGTACCTGGTATAGTTGAGATTTATTGCGTATGAAAACGAACTATAGCTGAATTGTGTAAAACCAGTGTACAGATTTGCATTTACATTTGTGTAGTTATCTAAATAAAACTGCACAGTATTTCTTTAATAATAATCATATTTGGAAACACTTTCCAGTTTGTTTTTTACCACAGGCAAACTGGCTTGAGAGTAGTTACTGTTAGCGCGTATTAAAGGACGCTGCAGGATAACAGCACTGCATTCATTAATTCACTCTCACATGTAGCGTGAAGGACGGGCGCAGGGATTAATTTTATGGACTTTCAGTAATTGCCCAAAACCAGCAATTACCTGCCATTAGAAGCCCTGGTTGGACTCCATTATGTCCAAAGTGTGAATTAATCCAAAGAATGAATAATAACTGCTGCACAATGTTGAAGTCACACAGAACAATAGCTAATAAGCTCCATCCAGGGTATTTCTCTGCAGGGACCTCCTCCTACAGAACAAAGTGCTCAGACATCAGCAGTCAGCCTGGCTGCTCCAGAGGCAGAGAGGCTCATGGGGGATGACAGTGCATACATAAACTGTAATTAACTCTCCCTGGGCCTCAGGAAGGGGCGGGGGGGTTAGGGGCAGGAGCGAGGGGCTCCTCCTCCCCCTTAGGGAAGCCAGCTAAATCCTTCACCTGCCAAAGAGGTGTAGATGGGACCCAGTTCCCCTGGGCTGAGACAGCAGCCTGCACTGCAGAGCTGCAGTCTCAGTCTGTCACAGCGGCTTCCATCTCCCTGACACACTACTCCCTCCAGACCAATTCCACTGGGAGCAGGCGGAGCTAACAGGGCTCTACGAGAACCTCTGTCCATTAGCATTAAAATGCTAAGTGAGGTATTAGCAACCCCTGGTGCATGTGATATTATAGTTACGGGTCAGGGGAGGTAATTCCTGATGCAAAATCCCAATCAATATACACAATCACAGCTATTGACTCCTGCTCTGTGTGGGAAAGCTTACTGGGTCATCTGCCAGCCTGTCAGGAGACAAAGAGCACACTTTGCCAGGTTGAAGTGTTTATGTAATAGTCTGTAAGCTGTCTTTGGGAAGCACAAGAAGAAAAGTCACCTAATAATGCAGAGAGGCATCAGTTTTCAGAGATAACTAACCCTTACACAGAAACTATATCTCATCTTTAGTAGTCTGCACAAAAAACACATCCCTGTTCAACGCTCACGTGCATCAGTGAAAAAAAAAGCCTGGCAGCCCTTAAAGCCATCTCCCTCGTCCATGTCAATCTTCTCCACTTACAAATGCTATTACCAGTCAACAGAGACTGCTGCTGGCAAACAACTTCACCGCAGCAGACGGGGAGAGGAGAAATTCCCAATTCTCAAGCCTCCTGCTGCACCTCTCAGTCCCTGAGGTCCACAGCTTGTTTTGAGAATGTGCTAACACGCTAAAAAGAAGGTGTCTATTCCGGTCATAATGAAGACTCAAGGGTCGGTTGGTGGGGGAAGAAGAGAAGAGGAGAATACAGCAGCTTCCCTCCCGCGAGGGTTCATTTGTCAGTCTTCTTCATCCCTGGAAACAAATAAGCGCAATTCCCCCTTGGGTTACTCAAAATATGGAGTGCTGCTGTTTCTCAACGTTTCAGTGGTATTTCGCTTTCCAACTAGTACATGTTGCTCTGTGGAGCGTTAGAGTGGAGAATGAGGCCTGTGGGTTAGTCAGGGAGGCAAAAGCTAGAGGCCAGATTTAAGAGGTGAAGGGGGTACAGGAGGGCTTTGTGTGGGTCAGCTGGTTGTGTGTGTGTGCAGGAAAGCCATTCATTAAGGCTGGATGTCAGGGGACCCAGCGAGGGGCTTATGGGGATAACTCATTATCCCAGGGTGAGCCATCTCCTACTCACAGTGCATTAGTTGCACACACTACCACTCCTGATTTTATCTCCCTACATGGTTAAAGCTACACTGCAGCATGTAAAAATTACATCTCTGACCTGGCTGACCTGAATATAATGAAAATGTAACACGGTATAACAAATGTGGATAAAGAAAACCCTCCACCCCTTAAAAACTGGCATAAGACATGAGATAACAGACAGGCTAATTGGTATGCAGGCCTCTTTGGTGCTCTGTTTTTCATCTCACCTTTGTTTTTACTGTCCTGCAGTAGACCACAACTCATTAGCACCATGCAGCTATATTTACCGTTAGCATTTTTTTATGTGCTGCTTCTATCACATTGAGACTGCAGAGTTAATAGGTCTGTGTATTGGTCAGTTAATGGTCCTTCATCAGCAAGGTGTTTGGATTGGTACAACCACGTACGAGACAATGGCTCAGATCTTTGATCCAATCTTTGCATAGTGCTATGATCCACAGATGGAATGACAGGAGGTCTGGCAAAGTGAGATACAGAGCATTAAGAAGTTTAATACGGTGTTAGGTCATTACGGCTGTACATAAGGGGATTAATTTAGCATATTATATTTCAATGTCATCTCTGGATACAGCCTGGCCCCATATAAATGATTAACAAACAAGCGCCAACAACATCATCTTTTAAAAGCTAGACTGGCAGGCCAGCACCTGCCCTTTTAAAAAAATACATTAGCACCCAACTCAAGCCAAGTTCGCTAATCTCTCTCCCTCTCCATCATATGAGTGTGTGTATATGACAGACTACACCGAGGCCTCTGTGACATCCCAAACCTTTGCTGCTTGCCGTCACCCCGTCCCATCGTCCTCAAAATAGCGCCTTGCTGTATTCTAAACCCTCACACTCATTTATGGGATTTCATCCAAGCAGGGGTCGCATAGCTCCAATCACACAAAACCAACAACCTAACACATAGCATGAGCCACAAGACTGACAGCTGAGCCATGTGTATGTCAGAGTTGTCTGAGCAGAGGCGAAATGCAAAGAGGGCTGATCCTGATGCACGATGCTAGGCTGCTGTCTGGCCAGCTCCCAGTCAAACTACCAGAATACAGCACTAATAAAATTCCCTCATGATCATTCATGAGCATTTTGGAAGGTCTATATCTGTAAAGAAACTAGTAACCACTGATGTAGTATAAAAATACAAAAAAAACAAAAAAAACAGCACAAGCGCAAGTAACTCAAAACGGTGTTAGTACTAGTACTAGAAAAATAAGTACTTTGTTACAGGAACCTTTGTTTCACCAACTTAAAATACAATAATAATAAAATACTTTGTGAAGTGTAAGTAATCGTTGGTGTATTTTCCGGAAGTTTGTTCTTGTAACTTTTTAGCAACATGGAAAATGTAGCCTGAGGGCACTTATCTACGGCCTGGAATTTAGAAAAAGCCTTTCTAAGGAGAAGCACTGAACCAAAACCCAGAGACCTTCTTCGCCCCGCCTGCAACTGATTTTCTCTGTCCCTGCTGTACTGCAGTAGGCAGAATTATGACCAAACCTCTCATAGATCACATTGCTCTTCCAGAGGCAACAGTTGTACCACACTCCAGCCAAGACAGTGCATTTGCAGAAAACTGTACCATGATACCAGTGAGTCCTAAACAGATTAATTTGGTCTAGAGATGTTCTTTATAAAACTGCGTGGGCTGCTGAGGCTGGACTCAGAGTAGGCAAACAATGGTGGCGTTGTTGGGAGGAGGACACACATCATCATCCAGCTTCTCAGAAAACAGAAACATAAACAGAGGGAGGCAGACTGTTTGCTCAAGTTGAATCAATTAAAGTGTGCACTGTGCTGAACAAGGACTCATGGCCCTCATTGAAAATATTGCATTGGTATGTCTCAGTAAACATTAATTACAATCAGGATCTCCCTCTGTGCTGTGTTTTCAGAAGTGGGCTTAATAAAATCTCCCTACAAAATATTCAGTCCCCAGTAATGCAGAATGTTTTAAAAGACAATTTTGCTTCAGGCCTTAGTCTGGAAACCATTTTATCTCTGAAAAAAAAGAAGGAAAACACCGCAAACTGGCTGCTCTTCTATTTCCATATTTTGTTTGACAACAAAATTAGAGTTGTAATTGAGCAGCAAGTGTTGACAGTGGTCTGACCTCAGGAGTGGTTTAGACAGCATATGTTCCCCAAAGAGCTTCTTGGTGAGGGACCAGGCTCTGTTTATTTGTTCTTAATGAAGCCTGCAGTCGCATTAATGGCAGACATCTTTAACAGATCTCCCTCCCACACAGAAGAGAACAATAAACAGCAGGCCGCTAGTTTCTGTCAGAACTCGCTCTCACTCGTGTGCTCACTTGCACATGCTCATAAAACCCTCAGTCTCAGAGACCCATCAAGCCAATACATAACA